TATTATCTTATGAGTGACAATGAAGTTCGATTACCGGATCGAGCTATTGGCCGAAAGCGTGATTGTTGAACAAAGGCTTGTTAAAACTATGAAGTATTATTTAGATTCTATTATTATTTTTTGTAAATTCTCCGTTGTAGGTCTGGAGGCTTACTCTTGAATCCAATTCCGAACGATCGACATTGGTATTGTGAAATTTCGTACTCTTGAGTTGCAACACTAGCGCCCATTTCGTCTGTATTGCGTGGATATTGAATGTACTAAATAGTATTGCGTTTGACTTTATATTCCGTACTCTGAATGCTATTTTAACAGCTACGATAGGGGTTGTATAGTGTTGACATTGAATAATTATTGAGATTTTATTGGATTGAATTTGCATTGACATTGAGATTGGTTTCAAGAGTAAGCACCCTGGACCTACTAGACTACTGCTTCCTGGTGTCTGAGGCCCAGCGCACCCATAAACCGATTTTAGTGCAAGACGCGCAGTGCGACGTCATGGTTCTTTGGCACGCAGTTTTTATCCATATGTCATAGTAGTTAAGGTTGATTTCAAACTGATTTATTCTCAGTATCTTCGCCGCACCTCCGCCGGTGTACACTGGGCCTAAGACTAAGACACTAGGCAGCAGTATTCTAATAAACCTGGAAGTACAATTGAGAATTTAGGAAAATCGAAAACTCTTAACACATTGAACGCCATAGGGGTCACCGGTACCGGCTTAGCGGAGGATTTAACAGTTTTTTATTGGCAGTCAGTCTTAATAAATAAAAATAATTGAATATAAGTAGTTAAAAACGTTTTTTTCTATGCCTCCCTTAATTGGCACCAGTTCAGTAATTTTCAAAATACCTGGAATGTTTTCCAGGAGTTTTGAAAATCTGCAATTTTGTAAATTTTGATGTGCTTTTATCGATGCGACACTCACGCCGCCATCTTGGAAAAATGGCGGCCAAAACCTTATTACAACAATTATTTTTTTCCCTAAATACCCATAAAAATATACTTTGCGGTGCTCTGGCGCCAAAACTATTTATATTACAAAAAACTGTCTATACATAAATTGTAGAAAATTGTGAGTACTTTAATTTTGTAGTTAACGGCTTTCTCGTAAAATGCACAGGAAAGGAGATATTGTAAAAAAACTGTTTATGGCCGCCATTTTTTCAAGATGGCAGCCAAAATCAAAGGTTCAAAATGGAAATCGAAAAGAACACATCAAAATGTACAAAATCGGGATGATGACAGGGTATGAAAATAAAAATCTAATTAGACCGTAAGTTAGGTAATGAAAAAAAATAGACACGTTTTTGTTTTATTTTGTCGTACAATAAAACAATAATTAGTTAATACGAATCAAAGTTTAGGAGTGGGGGCTAAAACGTCATTTCTACGTATAAAATGTACATAGAAGTGACGTCACGTGATATTTTAAATCAATATCATAATATATCGTCGAAAGTATTGGTTTCTGTAAGAAATAAAAAAATACGTGTCTAATGATTTAAAATAAATTCGGACGGACATTAAAATAAAAATTAGGCATCTACCCTATTGCCAATTTTCAGAACTGCCGGAAGGCTTTCAAGGTCACGCCCATATTTCCTACTTAATTATCGCACTATAATAGAGCAAAAATGAAAACAAAAAAGTGTTGAAAACAACTTACTGCAAACATAAACAGTCTCTTCCACTGGCATAACAATGGGAGCATGATCAGCAAACATCTTCTCCAAACTATCCTCAATACTCTCACTGGGGACATGCCTTCTCCAATCCATAGTCTCCGTAACATTGCTCTCTTCTCTCACTGGAGCTGGAGCTGCTGCAACCGGAGCCCTAACATCCTGTATGGTATCCTGTTCACCATCATCATCACTCGGACTATCCATACTGTCTAAGCGATCCAATCCGAAAGAGAGGTCATCAATGTCTAAAAGCTCTTGGGTCGGTATTTCTAGCATTGCGTCCGGTCTGTTTAACCGGTGATTTGTTTTTATTGGGGCTGGGGATGAAGCATCTTCACGTAATGACATATTTGGTGACACATCTTCTGCGGTTGCTGTTCTGTCATGATCGGTTTCTTGTTTTATAGTTTTCTCTTCTGGTTCAGGCGATTTTGATTCTTCTTTAATTGTTTTATTTGCATCTTTGTCTATATTTTCATTTTCAACTGGTTTTTCAGAGTTTTCTTCAGTTACTATAGCTGGATTTTTTGTTTTGTCTTCTTTATTTCTAGCATTTTCAGTGACTGGTTCAGAAATTTCTTCTCGGACTATGTTAGTAACTAGATTTTCAGTCTCATCTACATTTTCAGCCTGTGCCTTATTATTTGAAGTTTCTACTGTTTGACTTGTGATAGTTAATTCGGTATTACTTTGAACTTGTGTAGTACTTTGATCAGAGTTTTCCGTATTTCCAACTAAATCATCTTTTTCATCGCCATCTACTTCATCTTGGGTAATAGACTTATTATTACTTTCAGTTAGAGCAGTTTCTTCTTTCATTGTTATTTCATTATGTGTGCCATCTTTAATTACTTTTATGTCTACAGGCTGATCTTCATCATTTACTACTTTTACATCAATTTGATCTTCATTCTTATTTTCAATTTGCTGTCTGTTATTTTCAATTTTAACATCCATGCCATTTTGAGATTCTCCATCCTCTTTTAATAATTCTCTTTCTTTATCATCATCTACAACATCCATGGATTCTGCATCAGGTACCAATTCAGCCACATCAGCCTCTGCTAGGAGTTGATCTTCCAGTAAAGCATCATTATTGTCATCAATTTCTTTACTTTCTGAAGTTTCTTTTTCAAGAACTTCTTTGGGAACGTTTCCATCTTTGTCATCTTTTGGAAGATTTTCTTCTATTTTGTCAGCTTCAGTATCCATAACAATATCAGTGGAAGATGTTATTTCATATGCTGATTTTTCCGTCTGTTTGCTACTTTGAGATTCTATAGACTTACCTTCTTCTATTTGTCCTGCAGATTGTTCTGAAGATTCATTATCATTTTTGGTTATTTCTTCAGATTTGTCTACAACAGTCATTTCAGTGTCTTCATCAAGTTTGTTGTTCTCATCAAGAATATCTTGACATTCTTTTATTACAGCATCTTCTTCTGCTTGCAATGTTTTTGAATTAATATCATCTTCTAAGAATTCATTTTCTACTTCAGAGCTTTCCAGATTAGATTTTAGTTCAGGATTCTTATTAGAGTCATCCAAGTCTTCAGTTCTTTCAGGAGTTTCTATATGTTTGTCTGGTTCGGTGGTCGTTTCTGAAGGGTCCGCCAAAAGCTGTTCTTCCAATAAGTCTTCAGTTGTAGCTGAAGATTGACCTTTGCTGGTTCCTTCAGGTTCCATGCTTTCATCATCATCCCATTTCAGTTCCATCTCATCTTCATCTGTTTCTTTGTTGTTTGATTCCTGGGAGTTCTTGACTGGTGATTCTACAATGTTTTTAAAGCCATCAGCTTCTTTCTCAGGAGGAGTCAAACTATTTTCACGATTCACTTGAATCACATTGTCGTTGGCTGTATGATCACCAATACCTTTGTCATCATCAGTTTTAAGAGACTCTTTTGGGATTTCAGTTAGATTTGAATCTTTTTCTTCGATTGCTTTCGAGTTCTGATCAGAAATGTCTTTTCCAGCATCGCCGACGTCTTCATTAGTTTGTTCCTTTGAAACATCCTGTGTCACAGTTAAGCCGCTATCGATTTGGGTGTCACCATTCGAATTTTTAGCCGATGTAATGTCCTCAAGAATTAATTCCGACTTTTTATCACTCTCTTCTTTACTCCGCGGCTCATTATTAACATCAGCACTATTTTTGTCACCGTTAGCACTCATATTGAAGCAAAATAATCAAAATTATTAACAAAAACAAATTAATAATGAATCCAATCACGATCTGTTGGTGGGAAATCGCTGATTTTTATCGTTTTAAACTTAAAAACTAAAAACGTAATAACAACTTGTTTAATTGTGTGCGCTATAATGTTGGATTATTTATAGGAGGTAGTTTAAATAATAAAATATTTCACATCAATGCAAAAATAGCATTTCTGCTGTTTGCCATTTTCGTTGAATTGAATGACAGTTTGTCAAACACGTTTGACAGCTGCTAGCTAGAGAATGTTGCCAATTTAAAAATTATTCGCCCTTTCGAATGGTTGCGATCAAGTTTGGACATTGAACACCGATCGCTAAAATATTTATATTTTATTTTAGATTTTAGACCCATAATATTCGAATGAAATAAAGTTAAAAATGTACATAAAATTAAGTTAGCAATTGACACATCGTTATATTTATTTGCCTTGATAATATTGGATTATAGTTTGGAAGTAAAGCCGTACTGCTATTTTGAAATCCTACTAATTTCTTTAATTAAAATAAAATAATACATAATAATTACCCGATCAATCTAGCTTTTTTAGCTCTGGTATGCTTCGTCGATTACGTTCCACCCTCCTAATTTCATTTTATACCTTTAGCGTCAGCCACGGGTCTATCTCTCTTTTTCTCCTAGCTTCATCCTTTTCTCTATTTTTGATAATATCCATCTACCCGTCAAAATCAAGTTTTAAATTTTTCACGTACCTGGAACTCGACAATAAATATTTTGTTTGCAGTGACTGCCGATTTCGCTAGTAAATTCAGTGAAAATATACAGAATTTCTAATTAAGCTAATTCCGTTTCATACGCGGCACCTCAACTTGATGGAAAACTAAAATTGTCAATTTCATCACAGCATCAGTGATTTGCGTTTGATATTTTATTTGGCTTACTATATACTTCCGTAAAATAGTGTTTGTTACTAGTTTTATCGTAAAATTTGTTACGAAACGTTGTTTGTAAAGCTTGATTGAAATTCGTTCATTGTTTTGGTGCATCTAAGCGTCAGTTAGCGTACGGTAGAGTGTTGAGAAAGTTGAAAATCTGTTTTGAGGATCGCGAGAAATTTTGAGCTGTTGTAAACATGAATACTAGCTACTTTTCACCTCGATTGATGGTTGGGGCTGCTATAGTTGGCATTGTTGGAGCCGCTGGAGTCTTTATATACGAACAGGTGTATGCTGAGAAGCGGAGAGCAATGCTAGGTTAGTAAACCCAATTAACTTTTTTCGGAACACGTTTTGGCCATGAAAACTTCTATTCAGGAGAAAAAGTATTCAGTAAAAATAAATTGCGTGAATAATTATATAATTGTATTATATTTTAATGTTTAAATGTTATTCAAGTAAAGGTTATGTTTTTGTTTTTATAATTATGAATTCTTTTTGATCTAGTCAGATATGTTATCGGTTTTCGAACTTAACGAAATGAAGATAAGGTGGGTAATTCTAATATGAATGTTATTTTATCAATTGGATTTCTTTTTAATCTGCTACATACATCAAGTGCCTACATTATTACTAAAATATAAAAAGAAAAAAATTATGTCTATCTGACCTCTTTAGTAAAAAAAAAAATAAAATATAAAAGATGTCTAAAGATCACATCATGTAGGTACTGAGATGTTGAACATAAAACCACAAAAGTTTATTTTGCACCATGTTTAAACTCTCAAACACTGAGCGGTCACCCGTGACCACAACCTATTGTTCTTTAATTGTCTATAATGATGGTACTCAACGAGTTAATTCGTTTTAAAATACAATGTCTGATTAATTTTCTATTAGCGTAATTGACACATTTAGGAAGAAAGAAAGAAAGAAAAACCATTTATTATGCCATGACACACAACAACAATACAGGTAGATACATAAAGCCCATGGTGGTGCGAAGCGCAAAAGGCTTGAGCATATACATATATTTAATCAAATTATTATTATTAATTTATTTGATTTACTTTATTTCTTATTGGAAAATGCACCATATTGCCCATTAGTTTTGCTGTCAGAAGCCGATTATGAAAGAGGTTTTCAGCAAAATTTGCAAAATATGTAAAGACAGTTTTCAAAGTACCCACTACCAACTTTAACAAAACGAAACGAAATGAAAAATCCACAACATTTGTTCATGCAAAAAAGGTCTCTATGACGACAGAAATAAGGTCTATAATGCAGTGTGTTCACTGTTCACCGCTCGGGGACTGGCTAGTTGGCTAAGAATTTTCAATGCATAAATACTTATATTATACATAGGTACTGTAAAAGAAAGAAAGAAAGGAAAACCATTTATTCTTGCACAGAACACACATAACATAATAAAAAAATTAAAAAAATAAAATGTAATATAAAGCAAGGGTAAGCCAAGGTAGTAGCAACTGTAGCAACTGTCGTTTTTTATTATCAACTCCTTATCATAATTTTTATTAACAATTGTATTGTATAACTAAATAAAGTGTTAATTGTAACAAAAACATTTAACACACAGTTTATAAACACTAACATCAAAACTAGGCCGAGGCTGTCCCTTAGACACTAGTTCCTTCCATTGAGACAGAATATTATTTATCGACCAAATTAGCAATTAAAAAAGGCCAATTTAAAAGTACCCTTAACCAACAAGCATGCATGAAAAGACTGATGACAGTTGTGTAATAAAGCGAAAGAGGTCTGTAAAAATCGTAGCAATTGGTGTTCCATAGTCTGCTTACCCTCATCGGAGACAGACGTGAGGATAACATCACGTCACGTATGTACATAAATATGTATGTATGGTCAAAAATCGAGTGTATGTTGATTCCTACACATGCCTAAAATGAACTTATTTTGGGTGACATTCTGACACACATGCTACTATGTGACAAGTGGTCAATTGAAGCATATTGAAAAATCTACCCTATTTGACACAATACGATTATTTAATGTGTATATGAACTTGTATGTTTGTAAACGCACCCACAATACAAGAGAAAATAAAAGTGTGGGGAATTGAAAAAAAAAATTATTTTAATGCTTAAGACTTAACACAGGTTCAAACCTAACAGTTCAAAGTTCAAATCCTTGGATAGACAAAGGTTACAGCTAGTACAATACAATCATCCTTACTAATATTATAAATCGGAAAGTGAGTTCGTTGTTTGTTCCACTTTCACGCCGTAACTACTAAACCGATTGCTTTGAATTTTTGCACACGTAAAGTTAGGAGTCCGGATTAAATAATAAGGTACTTTTTAACCCGGAAAAATTTGATATTCCCGAGGAAAAACAAAAGTATTGGTATAGATGGCGCTGTATGTATTGGTATACGTCACATAGGCTACTTTTTATTCTTTTGTGACCCGAGCGAAGCGGCGGGTAAAAGCTAGTATTACATAAAGGTGATATCAGACGGTTCACTCGAATGAATATTCACCCTAGTAAATGATAAATCATTTTTTTTAATTTTTAATTTTTTAATAGTCCGACGTTTGACCACTAATGCAAGTAAAAGTTGTCCCTGGGCAGACAGTTCATTCTGAGTTTTTTGTTTGTTCATTTTTTGTACTTCTGAGAATAAAAAAAAACCAGTAATACTTTGCCTGACCCGGGAATCGAACACGAGACCCCTTGCCCGGCAGTCGCACTTGCGACCACTCGGCCAACCACCAACAACCACTTGGCCACTGTGCCCGTGCCCGGTATATGGCAATAGGCTCACCCCCTATTACATGGGACTCATACCATTAATAGTGAAAAGTGGGTGTAACATTGTACAGTGGTATGATGTGCACCTCTGCCTACCGCTTCGGGGATAAAAGGCGTGATGTTATGTTATGTCATTTTTAGTACAACATTGTTGGATCGTTTCACTGATGAATTGATTCTGCGCCCTTGTTTTCATTCTAAGTTCAGACGTATCATTTTGTGTGATAGTTTTTTCTTTTTTAATGTTGCCCCACACTACGATCTTCTCCTGTGCTGTGGGTGCGTTTATAAACATACTAGCTTTTACCCGCGGCTTCGCTCGCTTCACAAAAGGATAAAAAGTAGCCTATGTGACATATACCAATACATACAGCGCCATCTATACCAATACTTTTGTTTTCCCTCGGGAATATCAAATTTTTTCGGGATAAAAAGTACCCTATTATTTAATCCAGACTACTTACGTCTGCAAAAATTCGATGCAATCGGTTTAGTAGTTACAGCGTGAAGTCGGAACAAACAAACAAACTCACTTTCCGATTTATAATATTAGTAAGGATCTACAAATTCACACAAACCAAGATACCAAGATACCAAGACCCGGAACAACAATCTGTGGATCACACAAAGAGCCGTGCGGTACGTACTAGGGTTGTTGCTGATGCAGGATTTTGTCACATCAGCGGATGCTGATGCTGATGCTGATTTATTGTAATTTACATCAGCTGATACTGATGCTGACGCTGATTTTAAGTTTTTTTATACCTACTCAATTTTATAAATTTTTTTAGGTAGGTAAAATATTAAATTTTCATCGATCTACTTTTAATAAAAGATATTATTTAATAATTCTATAACTTTATAATAAAGTAAAATCTATGACTATTCTATAAGTAATTCTATTACTTTTTAAAGAATCAACAAATACGTAAAAACTAGTTAAGTAATAAATTATTATTAATACTGGAATTCTATTAACGGCAAGTTGTATTTTAAAAACAACAACTGAACTGCTTTTTCAGCTTGCAGTCTATTGCGGGTAGGTTTGTCTATAATGCCGGCACTGCTGAATAACTGTTCGCTAGGGACGCTTGCAGGCAGAGGTGACAGGATAGGTACTTTGCTTGCAATATTGATAGACGATTTGTTATGAAACGAAATATATGTATTTTGATTGGCCAATATTTGCAACAACCCTGGTACGTACGTACGTCAGACTGATGCCGAATGAAAGACAATATGAACCGTCTGATATCACCTTAATACTTGTATTATTTACTTTAGGTTAAAATGTAAATTAATGTTAATTTATATAAGTAAGATTGACAAGTAGGTAACTACTAAACTTGGATAATATTTATATACAAACATTTAAGGATGGGTGTAAGTGTTCTCAACATTTGTATTAGTTATTCTATCACTACACAGTATAAAACAAAGTCTCTATCCGCCGTCTGTCTGTCCCTATGTATGCTTAGATCTTTAAAACTACGCAACGGATTTTGATGCGGTTTTCTTTAATAGATAGAGTGATTCTCAAGGAAGGTTTGTATGTATAATACAGTCATACGGCACCCGTGCGAAACCGGGGCGGGTCGCTAATTCTAAATATTATTTTATGACATTATTATACTGCCTCGTTGTCCGAGTGGTCTCAGGTATCTCGGGTTCGATTCCCGGGTCGGGCAAAGTATTACTGGGTTTTTAAAAAAGATCTCAGTAGTAGCACGGAGTCTGGAATTGAGCCCGGTATACGGCAATACGCTTACCCCCTATTACATGGGACTCATAAATAGTGAAAAGTGCGTGTTACATTGTACAGTGGCATAATGTACACCTCTGCCTAGCCCTTCGCGGATAAAAGGCGTGATGTTATGTAAGATTCCATTTTTAACTCGTCGAGTACCGCATTTATAGACACAATTAAAGAACAATAGGTTGCGGTCACCGGTGACTGCTTGGTGTTTGACAGTTTAAATATTACTTACAAACAACAAAAAAAAAAAAAAATTAAAATAGGAGCCGACCAGTAGCGGGAGCATGGTCCAAGTTACCGGTGGTTAGGGCTCCAGAGACAGAAATCTCCTCACGATATGTTTCAAGGAGAACTGCCTTCTGTATCAGGCCCTTGATCCATCCACCTAACGCTAGCTTCCTTAGGTGGATGTCGAGGCTTTTAGGTATTAACCCATTGGCCGACACGAACACGACTATCGGCACAATGATAGCCGAATCCACACTCAACATGTCGACAACGTCGTGAAGTATGTCTAGATATGTTATTTGTTTATCTTTCTCAGCTTTCACGAGGTTCTCGTCATGGGGAATGGTGACATCGCTTATTATGATATTTATTATTGTGTTACAGTGAGAGAAGTACAGAGACTGGATAAACAAGTAGCTTCTATGAGGACAGAACTAGAATCTCTGAGAGACCTACAGAAAGAAGCGTAAGTACTATCAATTATAATTGGGATGATAACGGGGTATGAAAATAAAATCTAATTAGTCCGCAAGTTAGGTAATTAAAAAAATGTTAGACACGTATTTTTTTATTTTGTCGTATAATATAACAATACTTAGATAAAACGAATCAAAGTTTAGGAGCGGGGGCTAAAAATTCATTTCTACGTATAAAATGTTCATAGAAGTGACGTCAGGTGACATTTCAAATCAATATATCGTCGAAAATATTCGTTTCTGTAAGAAAATAAAAAATACGTGTCTAATGATTTAAAATAATCTACCAGACGGATATTAAAATAAAAATTAGGCATCTACCCTATACATTTTTTTTGTACAATCTATCTTATATAAACATAATAAAATCTTAGAAAAGTCAAAACTGTAAATTGATTATTTTTTTAAATTAATACTTGGGGCGTGATCTATAATGGATATCGAAGCCAAAAATATGGTTTTTAGAATTTTTGTCGGTTTATCTGTATGTATGTCCGGGATGATCTCAAAAAGTACTGCATGGATTTACATCAAATTTTGCATGAATATGACTAACAGGTCGGGTCAACATATAGGCTACATATTATCACGCTATCATTTACTGGGTAGGAGCCCTGCCCTATACTAGGTACTGAATCAATTCTAATGACATTCGTTACCGTAGAATATTACTTGATAGACTAATTCAAAAGCCTAAATTCTGCCAGAAATCAATATTCTACGCGGACGAAGTCGCGGGCAACAGCTGGTATTTAGATAAAACTAGCTTCTGCCCGCGACTTCGTACGCGTACCATCCCATTTTTTCCCGTCCCCGTTCGTGATTTTCGGAAAAGAGTAAAAAAATTTTTGGTTAAAAAGTATCCTATGTCGGTCTCCTGGCTCTAAGCTACCTCCCTACCAATTTTCAGCCAAATCTATTCTGCCATTCTTGAGTTATAAGTGGTGTCACTAACACGACTTTCTTTTATATATATATAGATTAACTAATATGTCAAAATCTTCTGACTTCCAGTAATCTACGTCGTATCAAACAGAGGAAGGCTCGCAGAGACCGCTCAGCGAAGAAGGCGGCTGCCGGCGACAGTGGGGAGGTCGCGGAACAGAGCTACGCATCCGATTCCGAGTACTTTACGGATTACCAGTCTGTATTGGGTGAGAATCTTTTAAGATCATACTTAAGTGTAGGAGAGCCATGCTTCGGCACGAATGGGCCGGCTCGACCGGAGTGATACCACGGCCGAGCAGAAAACCGACGTGAAACAACGCTTGTGTTGTGTTTCGTTGTGTGAGTAAGGTTACCGGAGGCCCAATTACCCCCCTCCCTAGTCCCCGTCTCCCGAATCCCTGAATCCTCCACAATCCTCAAATTCCCAATTCCCAAAAGGCCGGTAACGCACACGCACCGATTGTTTACCATCAGGTGATCCGTCTGCTCGTTTACTGGCTTATGCTATAGAAAAAAAATACTAATATTTCCATTCAAAGGTTGTCTGGAAGAAATCACCATTGTGTGACAAGACCGCCAATTGTACGCATATTAATCGAATTGCATATTTTTTGAGCTACTTAAATGGGTATAATTAAAAAGCATATATAAATAAATAAATACTATTATAAATGTGAAAGTTTGTGAGTTTATGTGTTTATGTGTTTGTATGTATGTGTGTATGTTTGTTACCCAATCACGTCAAAACGGCTGAAGAGATATTGGTGAAATTTGGATCTGGGATAGATTATGGTCTAGAATTACACTTTTTAACACACGGGAACGCGAGCGAAATCGCGGGCAGAAGCTAGTTTTATAATAACTATGTGTGAGACAAAAAAGTCGCGGGTTACTCACGTGTACAAACTGAGAAAAGCTCTACTAGTTTCGAGCCACAGAGGGGCTCTTCCTCATGACTCATGAGCAGCGTACATCTCATGTCGCCTACTCAGCGATGCGTTTTAGGCTGCACGACATCGCGACATCGCATCGCCTAGTAGAGCTTTTCTCAATGTATTCACGTGTGTAACCCGCGATTTTTAGTTAATTTCCGATTCTTTATGATAAGTAGATGGGAGAAGTAGAAAGAAGTTGTGGTACTTTTAACTTCTAGTTGTATCAATGTGGGATCGGCAAACAAGAAAATGAATTACTTAATGGTAAGCAATCAGTGTCAGGAGGGGAAATGCTTGATTGAGAAAATACTAGAACACTACTTAAAATTCAAGAATCATCTTTTTGGGGTATGTTTTTAAAGACGCAACTTCTTGCTACAAATCTAAATTGGACCCTGTTAAGCATAAAAGATCCAGCCCACATTTTATTACTTTTGAGTAAATGAAGTTTAATGTTGGGCTGATAATAAAAAAATCTTATGACATAGCATAGTACCTATTGAATAGGATATAATTACTTTATACTTCTGGATAGGTACGGATAAAAATTAACTGATTCCGAATATATATATAACTCAATATCGATCAAATTCTTTGCGCGACAAAATCCGAAATATGGAAATTCGCCAAAGAACAAGAGTTACCGACATAGCTCGCAAAATCTGCAGACTAAAGTGGCAATGGGCAGGCCACGTCGCTCGAAGGACTGACGGCAGATGGGCCAGGAAAGTCCTTGAGTGGAGACCACGGACCGGAAGACGAAGCGTGGGCAGGCCTCCCGCTAGGTGGACCGACGACATCGCCAGAGTTGCGGGGAGCCAGTGGATGCGGGTGGCGAGTTGTCGTTCGACGTGGAGGGCTAAGGGGGAGGCCTTTGTCCAGCAGTGGACGTCTTCCGGCTGTTGATGATGATGATGATGATCGACCAAAATATCGCTTAAACCAAATAGTCCGTTACCCCTCGATATGATTACTTTAAACTTCTGTGGGCTGGATCTTTTCTGCTTAACAGGGTCGAATTAATTTTAAAATACCGAATATAGAAAATTCTTCTACCACTTTTGCTCAATTCCTACCACATTTTGTTGTTTTACTCAAGACACATACCCGGGTGTCTTCAAGGCCCCAGTGAATTGCTTATGGGACGACGTACTCCATCGTAGACCGCATCATCGCTTACCACCAGGCGAGATAGTGGTCAAACGTGGGTCCATGAAATGTATAAAAAAACCCTCAGATATATAATACAAGGTGATATTCTTCCAGGAACAGATGGCGAGCTGGACAGCGAGGAGTTCTACGACGTGCCAACGGACGATGATGACGACGACACGCTCAGAGAGTCACTGCGTAACGGACATGTCGCTGAACTTAAAGATGACGTGAGTTTCATGACAAATCATTTTATTTATTTACTAGCTTTTACCCGCGGCTTCGCTCGCGTCACAAAAGGATAAAAAGTAGCCTATGTGACATATACCAATACACACAGCGCCATCTATACCAATACTTTTGTTTTTCCTCGGGAATATCAAATTTTTCCGGATTAAAAAGTACTCTATTATTTAATCCGGACTTTTAACTTTACGTCTGCAAAAAATCAAAGCAATCGGTTTAGTAGTTAAGGCGTGAAAGCGGAACTGTGGCGACGCATGCCACATGTCAACGGATGACGTCACAAGAATCCTACATCGCGCATGCAAAGTTTACAAGCGAATAAACACGGATAGAAAATCCCAACGAACAACTGTTGGGCAGAAAGCCCGCCAGGCACGATCACCTCGCCTGGTCGGAGGATCCTCCTTTTCCGATCTTAGGGAACTATACTCTCTGTTCTCTAAAGAACAAACAAACAAACTCACTTTCCGATTTATAATATTAGTAAGGATTATAAGTGAACAGAAATGTTGGTTAGATGCGTTATCAAAGTACACAAAAGTGTAATTTGCGGTCTGCTTATGTTTGTTTAATTACTGCTATTCAAATGGAAAACTTATTAGATCGATCTCTACAGTCAACTAGTCAAACTATAATTATATTATCATAGAAACATTAACAATTTAAATTAACAACTAGACCGTCCCATTAATCTAGTGGCCGCAAAAGTAACTGCCAACCAATACGTCTCGGATTCAATTCCCGGGTCGGCGAAATTATGTCTGGCACATAGGTGTTACATTATACATATTGTGCACCTCTACCTAGCCCTTCGGGGATTGAAACGGGGGCCGTAATGTTATGTTATAGGCATCATACCTATAACAGCAGTACACGCGCGATCACTGAATAAAAGTTTTAATTAGAGATGCAACGAATAGTTGTTTGGCCGGGTACCGGATATTCGGCCTGACTACCAGCCGAATATGTGGTATCCGGCCGCCAAATATTTGGTCGGCAGTGTGATACCTACATTTTGAGTTTCATAGGTGCGTGTCGCATACCGCCACGCCGCTCGCCGTGCAGGTTTTGACTTGTTAGTATAAAAAGTTACAATTGATTATACTAATAAAAAAAAAATCAATTACAACTGTGTCTCTATTTAGATTTCATTTATAAAATCTACCAAGTTTACTATCCAGTATCCGGCCGGGTAGTACATTACCATCCGGTATCCGGCCGGATGGTAAATAACGGCCGGATAAGCCGGATACCGGATAGTAACCGAATATTCGGTGCATATCTAGTTTTAATGCATATTTTTGTATGCTTATTTCAGGAGGTCTCAGAAAAGAAACCCGATACTCCTGTTTCAACGTTCAACAATGCGACATAGTTGTAAAATGTGTACAGGTAATTTTATTTCTTCTACTTTTTTAAATTGAATGCACCGGGAGAGACCATCGATGTTCAGCTATGTGGTTGACATTATAATGTTGCCAGTGTCTGTGTCGATTTATGATAGTATATTAAATACTATATTATTTAATATACTGAGTGCCAAGCACGAATAACTATCGTATTCGTAACGTAACAGTATCGAGCGCGTTCGGCGCTCTGATTGGCCGGCTCAAGGGAACCAACCAATCAGAACGCCGAACGCGCTCGATACTGTTACGATACGAATACGTTAGTTTTTCGTGTTTGCCCTCTGATGTATTTAATATACTATCATAAATCGACACAGACAGTGTTGCCACGCTTCGTATATTATTCATCTAATTGAATTTGTTATTTTTAATAAATTAAAAGAAATAAAATCTTTCTCTGTGTCGACTGCCTCGATGGCCGAGTGGTTGCAAGTGCGACTGCCGGGCAAGGGGTCTTGGGTTCGATTCCCGGGGCGGGCAAAGTACTTTGGGTTTTTAAGGGTTTAAAAAAAAAACTCTTGTAGCACGGAGTCTGGAATTGTGCCCGGTAAATGGCAATAGGCTCACCCCCTATTACATGGGACATAAACATATTATGAGAACATAAATAGTGAAAAGTGGGTGTTACATTATACAGTTGCATTTAGTGCTGTAATGTGCACCTCTGTCTACCCCTTCGGGGATAAACGTTATGTTATGTTGTATAAAATGTGTCTGCCTTTCCGTAATATTGATTGATTTAAAATCTTTTATTTGCTTTGAAATAGGGTAGTATTCTAAATTTTATTTTAATGTCCGTCTGGTAGATTATTTTAAAACATTAGACACGTATTTTTTTTTCTCACAAAATTAAATACTTTAGCCGATATATTGATTTAAAATATAGTGTGACGTCATGATTTATTACATTTTATAGGGTAGCGTAACGTAACGAACTCCCACTCCTAAACTTAACACCGTTTTATCTAAGTATTGTTTTCTATTAAGATTGCACGGTTGGCGCGGTGGCTGGACAACCTGCTGCCAAGCAACGTGTCGTGGGTTCGATTCCCACACGGAACAACACTTTGTGTGATCCACAAATTGTTGTTTCGGGTCTGGGTGTCATTGTGTATGTGAACGTGTATGTTTGTAAACGCACCCACGACACAGGAGGAAAAGCTAATGTGGGGCAATGTTGTTAAAAAAAAGTGTCTAATATTTTTTCATTATCTACCTGACGGACTAATTATATTTTTAATTTTCATATACTGTTTACTACCCTATTAATGTCATTAATCAGCAAATTCGTAATGAGTAATATTTAATATTAAAAATGACTTATAAATGAATTTTATTTATTTCAGCCGATGTCGGGAGCGTTAGTTAACGATGGGTACGGGGATTAGTATTAGTATAGTCGGGAAGGGGGTATAACCACCGTAGCTAGTTTTAAATAGACTACATTTTGTAAGCGAACGAATTGCAAATGTTATGATATTGAATAGAAAGTAATATGATAATATTACTTATAAACCTATGACATTACCATTGGCTTGAGTTGTTATATTGAACTCGTATAATAACTAGTAATAAATGTTATATTGTATACCTATGTTCACCTCTTAGAGCATAGTACAGTTTGTCACGTTCAAAGTGATCGACACGTTAATGACGTGATGCACTCTGAGACTCTGAGTAACGAGTACGCGTTCGGCGCTCTGATTGGTCGGTACATTGGCGCCGGCCAGAGCTCCGAACGCGTAACGTATATCAAAGCCTATACTAAAGCCTCTGATTGGTCTGATCTAATAAACCAACCTATCAGGGCTAAATGCGGTAACGTCGGCCCTCTGTCTACTAAATAAATATTTTGATTTTCAAATTCTATGATACAATGGATATTTCATAGGTTAATACTTAATATTATTAACAGGATTTGTTTAAAAGTTGATTGGAGATAAATTCTGAGTTTAAACATTTGCGCTAAATATGCGCAAAGTTAGCGCAATTTGTCTAAAAGTTTGCGCAAAGTTAGCGCAATTTGTGTAAACGTTTGCGCAAAGAGTGTAAAGTGTATTACTGCTAGTTCTAGCCGAAATTTCGATTTGATTTTAACATCTTACGGCACATTTTTATTTTTTTAATGAATTTGAATCTTTTGAACGCCGCTATCGACTATATTGTTTGTTTTTTAAATACATTTAGTTTGTCGCCTATAGTCGAGACCGCGTCGGTCAAAAGGTTAATGTTGTATTATCAAATTATCTCTAATGAACTTTTAGATGTAATTAAATGAAATTCCAAGTCAATAATAATTCCATAATAATGTATTAAAAATGTTAATCAATTGTGTACATTACTGTTATATTATATTATAAAATAATATAAATAATCACTTTAACATTGAGTAGACATTATAAATATTATTTATATTTATTTTTATTAAAGACCTATTTCATAATTGTCGATTAAGTTTCTGATAACGTATTTGATAGATATATTTTGATGAATGTAAACGAAGCGAAAGAGGTATGCTAGAATTGGGTACTTTTCTTAATCAAAAATAAATTATTTCGACTGTTCAATACAATGATGTATTAAAAAATAATCATACTTTCATTAATTGATTATATGACCAACTTAATTTTAGTATTTTTCCAACAAATTTGTAAGAAATAAGTATGTTGTTTTACGTTAAAAAACCGTGACGTCACAACACACACAATCTCGTACAAAATTCATAGATAACTGTAGTTTTAGACAGTTCAAAAAAAGTATTGAATTTGACTAGTTGGCAAGTACCCAATTGTGTCGTGGAGAACCTAACGGGTAACCGGGGCTCCGGCTCGACGTGCAGGAGAAGGAACGGGGTGGTTTTTAGTCAGTAAGAGTCTGACACTCCCTTCCGCCTCACCCAGGCGAGAAACAAGTGAACAAGTGACAAGTGAATTTATTTCTGCAAATAGGCTACAAGGCAGCACTTTTACACGTCAATTTTATCAAGCGAACGATGAGGTCGACATTTCCTAACTGACTACTCTGAGAAGAAATGCCGAAACAAACTCAGAGGCCCGTCTCTTTTAAAGTTCAGACAAATATGTATAAAAAGATTATGTGTGAGAACCGTGCAAGTTCTTTCTGTAGTGGCCTTTTGAGGAAAGAACCACTTTGAGCAGAGCAGAGTGAGAGCAGTCATTCGATGATTTCCCCCCTTTAAAAAAAAGTACCCAATTGTGGCAGTTGGTTGTGCCTCCTGATAGGAGGCAGGCAAGGCAAGATAAGTCAAAATATGATCTGTTAGTTAGACTATCAGGAATTTAACTAAAAATAAATGAAATATGGTCTCAATAATGTAAAATTTTCAGTCAATTTGGTTAGGATTATGAACAAAATATACTGGAAAATAATAATTCGACTAAAAGCCAATTTTAATGAGTTTACAAACACCATCCTTTCGATGTAAAATTTTTTAAATGTCGATCACGATTTCTCGATTTCGATCACTGGGTATGGCAAAGTGTTATTTATATTTGATTATGAAATTCTTAGTTTAAAACTGGTTTAAGTGCGATGCTGAGAGTACGTGCACCGACAGCGCTGATGAGATGAGATATATGAACTTCTAGTAAGCGTTTTTGAATGATGTGTAGCCATCTGCGCGCATGGTGGTCAGCGCTGACCCCCAATTTCCCTGACCTGACCTGACGGTGCTCGTGCCATCGGCGGACACTATAATCAGCCTAATAGTCACCACCAACAAACCGTCACAGTGCACTGCTGGACTATGTCATAGGAGGTGTTTGCTATAATCTCCTCAGTCGGGTATATGACACCCGCCGAAAGAATAGGGGTGGTGACTAATGTATTATACTCCGGTTTTTAATGGTATCTTTGACAATATGTATAAGTACTCTATTACATGGGACTCATAACATAATTGTTGAAAATTTTGAGAATATCTTGGTCCAAATGTTATTTTGCAAAATTGACAGTTTTGTCAAAACAGTGACATTAACAGTCCCTAACAGGATACCGATGGACTAAGGGCTTACCCTCGTAAGGGGTCATGAATTACGTCATACGAATTTCGTGATTTTTACCCCTTCCCCCGTCCTTGTCACATTTGTAAAACCCCCTCTGTAGAGTGCCGTAACATTTTGCAAATCCTAGAATCCCCAACAATCCTCAAATTACTAATCCCCAAAAGGCCGGTAATGCACCTGTAACGCTTCTGGTGTTCAAGGTGTTCATGAGCGACGCCGATTGTTTACCATCAGGTGGTCCGTCTGCTCGTTTTTGGCCATTCCATAAAAAAAATACACATGGAAATGATTAAGTGAAAATAGCTATTTCGTAATCAGCTTTAATAATTATTTTTTAATAATATTGAAATCAATTCAAACAAGTAGAGCGAGTGGTTGACAAAGTAATTGGTGTCTTATTATTACACAGATATAGTTGTATACTATGTTTTTGAGGTTTTCCTTAAAATAATAACAGTTTAAAATTGGCGTATTAACACAGATTATAATAGTTTTTTAAATTGACTTCACGAAGGTTAGGATCCCTCGCTCCCCCTTGTTACACAATCACACTTCCTCGAACCCCTCCCCCCCCCCTTTACGTGTGACATAACAGATTCCCAAATTATAATAGTTTTTCAATTGTGACGTCACGAAGTTTAGGATTCATCTCTCCCTCTTGTTACACAGACACACTTCGTCGACCCCTTCCCCTCCCCCCTTTACGTGTGACATAACAGATTCACGTAATATAATAGTTTTTCAATTGTGACGTCACGAAGTTTAGAATTCATCTCTCCCCTTGTCACAGACACGCTTTGTCGACCCCCTCCCTCTCCTCTCCCCCCCTTTACATGTGACATAACAGATTCACAGATTATAATAGTTTTTCAATTGTGACGTCACGAAGTTTAGGATGCATCTCCAACTTGTCAGACACACTGGGTCGACCCCCTTCCCCT